GAGGCGGAGCTTGCAATGAGCTGAGGTGGCGCCACTGCACTCCAGCCTGGGCGACAGAGCGAGACTCCGTCTCAAAAAAAAAGAGGGGGGAATTTGTGGAGGAAAAGTTAAATATTAATTTTGAACTCAACTGAACATGGACACAAACAATGAATGGTCACCAAGTCTCAGAACGGGTTGTGTGACCCCCTCGAGACATTAATCCAGTATTGTTTCAGAGAAATCTCTGTTTCAATCTATTCCTATATGTTAGTTATTGAAGAACAAGTTAACCTTTTTGTATTCCTTGTGCCCATTGGCAAAGGGCCCTTGTGACTGGGCCTCATGCCAAACATTTCAGCTCCATCAGGTCATTTATGTTCCCCTCCAAACTGGTTATTCTAGTTAGCAGTTCCTCTAACCTTTTATCAAGGTTCTTAACTTCTTCGAATTGGGTTGGAACATGTTTCTTTAGCTCAGCTGAGTTTGTTATTAACCGTCTTCCGAAGCCTACATCTGTCAATTCATGCATCTCATCCTCTGTCCAGTTCTGCCCCTTGCTGAGGAGACATTTTGATCATTTGGAAGAGAAGAGGCACTCTGGCCTTTCAACGGTTTTTTGTTGATTCTTTCTCATCTTCATGAATTTGTCTAGTTTCAATCTTTGAGGCTGCTTGACCCTTAGATTTTTTTTTTTTTTTTTTTTTGACGGTCTCTCTGTCACTCAGGCTGGAGTGCAGTGGCATGATCATGGCTCACTGCAAATTCTGCCTCCCAGGTTCAAATGATTCTCATGTCTCAGACTACCTAGTAGCTGGAACTACAGTCATGCACCACCACGCCTGGCTAATTTTGTATTTTTTAGTAGAGATGAGATTGTGTCATTATTATCGTTCAACTCAAAGAATTTTTAAATTTCCATCTTGATTTCATACAACAATCATTCAGAAACAGGTTGATCCTAAATTTTATTTTTATTGAATTTCCATGTATTTATTTAATTTCCATGTATTTGCATGGTTTTCATGGTTCATTTGGAGTTAACTTTCACTTTTATTCCACTGTAGACTGAGAGAGCAGTTGATATAAATTTGATTGTCTTAAATTTATTGAGACTAGTTTTATGGCCTATCATATGTCTATCTTGGAGAATGTTCCATGTGCTGATGAATAAAATGTATATTCTGCAGTCGTTGGGTGGAATGTTCTGTAAATATTTGTCAAGTCCATTTGTTCTAGGGTATAATTTAAGTCCATTTTTTTGTTGTCGTTGTTGACTTTCTGTCTTGATGACTTGTCTAGTGCTGTCAGCAGAGTATTGAAGTTCCCCTTTGTGTTGCCATTTATCTCAGTTCTTAGGTCTAGTAGTAATTGTTTAATAAATTGGGAGTTCCAGTGTTAGGTGCATATACATTTAGAACTGTGATATTTTCCTGTTGGGCTAGTCCTCTTATCATTATAGAATGTCCCTCTTTGTCTTTTTTTTTTTTTAAAACTGTTTTTGCCTTAATGTCTATTTTGTCTGATGTAACAATGGCTACTACTGCTTGCTTTTGGGGTACATTTGCATGTACTATTTTTTCCCAACCGTTTACCTTAACTTTATGTGAGTTTTTATGTGTTGGGTGAGTCTCTTAAAGACAGCAGATATTCGGTTGGTAAACTCTTATCTATTCTTACCATTCTGTATCTTTTAAGTGGAGCATTTAGGCCACTAATCACTATCAATTATACCACCATACATTATAATGCCTGTTATTGCAAGGCTTGAACACGTTGTAATCCGGACACGTTGTGATTTGGACAGTTGCTTTCTTCAGCAACAGGCTGATAGCTTTGAGCCTGATCAGTCAAGACATAGGCCTGGCATTGGGCCAGGGCCAGTCTGAAAATCAGATTAGCACTTTCCTTTTCCAGCTTACATTTCTCTTATAGCAACTATCCCCTATCTTGATACATTAACTCATAAGCAGTAAGCAAACGCCATTCACTCTGGGAGATCCCTTCAGCATCCCCTTTGCCTACTGGAATCTTCTGCAGCACTTCACGCATAGTCAATGGTTTCAATTGCACTAATTTAGATTCTCAATTCTCACAAAGGCCAGATTCCCTGGACCATTCAATCGCCAAAGAGGAGAACTGTGGGTATTGGAGGTAGAGAAAATGAGGGTCCTGACCAACTCAGTCAAGAAAACTGACAAACTGCATCTGCTGCCAGAAGGGGTGCTGAGGGCAGTCACGCCCCAGGCGCAGTGTTCCTTGTGGTTATCTATAGGAACATCTGAAGCCTGTTGCATGAAGAAAGCAATTATATGTACCTGTGATAAATCAAGCAGCTGACCAACCATTACCTCTCCCTCCCTATTGATTCTACCTGATAAATACTAAGGCCTGTGGAAACTCAGGGCTGCCTTCTGCTCACTACAAGCGAGGAGCCCCCGGCCCCTTCTTTTTTTTTTTTTTTTTTTTCTGAGACCGAATCTCGCTTTATTACCCAAGCTGGAGTGCAGTGGTGTGATCTCAGTTCACTGCAAGCTCCGCCTCCCGCGTTCATGCCATTCTCCTGCCTCAGCCTCCTGAGTACCTGGAACTACAGGCGTCCAACAGCATCCTGGCTAAATTTTTTTTGTATTTTTATTAGCGACGGGGTTTCACCATCTTAGCCAGGATGGTCTCGATCTCCTGATCTCATGATCCTCCCGCCTCGGCCTCCCAAAGTGCTGGGATTACAGGTGTGAGCCACTGCGCCCCGCCTAACCCCTTCTTTTAAAACAAATCTTTTGTTTTTGTCTTCATTTCTGTGTTTGTCCCCCTTTATTCATTCCCGTAGAAACTGACAGCGACATTGGGGAGTTCCCATCCATGGGTATGGGAATTCTTCGAGTTTCCAGCCCTGTCCTTGCTGCCAAAAAGCAGCACAGTTTGGTTTTCAAATCCTGTTTGTGACGCCAAAAATATTCTGTGTGGGAAACGTTCAAGGGTAGAAGAAAAGACACACATACAATACCTTTAAGGGTAAATAAGCTTTATGCCTCGTAAATGGAAATGCAGATATAATTAGCAAATAATATAATAAGCAAATCAATGTAATAACTGGATTGATATAATAAGCATGTTGATATAATAAGCAAATTGCAATGGGAAGAGGAGAAAGGAAAAGAGATACATATACTGGTGTATATGTATATGGAATCTCTGACCTCAAGAGACACCAAACTGATGCCAGTAGAATTGCTCCTGTATAGGGTGTCTGACGACCCCTGTTGAGGGGTCTCATCCAATTGGGTGGCACAGGGAGCAGAACCCACTTACCTGGGCCATTCAATCACCAAAGAGGAGAACTGGGGGTATTGGAGGCAGAGAATTTTAAAATTCTCTCACCAGACTATGGAGGATTCACCGTGTTAGCCAGGATGGTCTCGATCTCCTGATCTCATGATCCTCCCGCCTCGGCCTCCCAAAGTGCTGGGTGTACAGGCGTGAGCCACCACGCCTGGCAGCTTCTTAATTTGTACAATCAAAGTGGAAATTTCCTGGTTATGCAATCAGAGCTTA